GGTTGGTCGGCCGATAAAGTTAGTCTTCCTGGGGAATATATAGGCACGCTCGCGAACCGGAGACCAGCTACACTGCCTTCGTGCATGCACCCTGGCCACGACGTGAATTCTGAACCTATCCTTTAGGGCTTAATGATAGCACGCGTGCTATCTTTTTGTTCGGGGGTGTATCGAACAGTCTAGTATAGTAATTTCACGTGGAGGAATGGGACGACAACGGGGAGAAGGAAGTTGGAATTTTTCGAAATAGTGTTTTTTTTTTTTTAAATTGATAGAATTGAAAAATTAAAAAATTTCAAATCGATCTGAAAAAATTATAGCTAGTTAGAGGGGTCAATTACAATTATTTTTGGTCAATAGACATACCCCGAAATCTTACTCACTTTCGAGAAAAAAATTCGAGTAAGTGCCTAAATTTTGGGGCAAAAATGAAAAATTTCAAATCGATCTAAAAAAATTATACCTAGTTAGAGGGGTCAATTACAATTATTTTTGGTCAATAGACATACCCCCGAAATCCTACCCATTTTCGAGAAAAAAATTCGAGAAAGTATGAAATTTTTTGACGAAAAAAAATTTTTCAAATTGTTCTAAAAAAATTATTTTCAGTTGCAGGGGTGAATTACAATCATTTTTGGTGAATATACATACCCCCGAATTCCTGCGCATTTTCGAGAAAAAAATTCTTTACTGAAAATATAACAAGTGGCCAGAAATGCAAATCTTTAAAACATCATAACTCCTGAACGGATTGGAGAATTTTAAAGTTTAAAATAACAAACAACGCGTATTTTATTGAAGAACATATAGAAACTCCGAAAATATTCAAAAAGTTGTTGCTTGATACCTAAAAATGAGGAAAACCCCCAAAAAGTGGTCCAATTTTCAAACAACCATAACTTCTACAATAGTAAATACATTGAAACTTATTCCTGAGTTAGTGCTCACGAATACCTATAAAAAAGTATTACAAAAAATTTCCCTAGAGCGTCGATCAAATTTATTAAAAATCAAAAACGAACTTTTAAAAAAAATCGTCAGTTTGTACGAACTTTTCTCCAACCCAGACAGAATTCATAGCCAAATAGACCAATGCAGAGGCTCGTAGCTACTGTTTAAACATTTTAAAGAATTCAATCCGCCTCTGTGTACGAAAAATGGAAGAACAGGATCGAAAACGAAACGAAAGTCATGTTTCGCGTGTTTCGTTCCCCGGGCAACCCTGTGTCTGTGTTTCTGTCTCTCCCGTTCTATTTTCGGCACTCACGGAAAACGCATTTCCACCGGTTCGCCATGTTTATTGTACCGGTTTCTACTCTATCGAGATTTTCAACCGTCAGCGGCGCGCGCAGCGCGCTCTCGTCGCCGAAGGTGGTCAAAGATGGCCGCCGTGGCGCGGCGATTCGTTCACGATCCGGCGAAAACAGGTTTCGCGGAGCCAGTAATGAATTAATTATCTTCGGTTTCGCTGAATTTTGGACGCGAGACTTTTTCGAGAAATAAATTATGCAAGCATCCGTGACCCGGGAGTGGAAACCGATTCTTCTCCCTCGAATCGACAAGTCCATCGTAATTTATTCAACTGGCTTGTCAGATGTTACTGTGGCGGGCACACGGTCTGAAATCGAAGTTTACGTCCCGAGAATACGCGAAGGAACACTGTTTTACAAAGGTAGAAAATACACAAAATATTCCTAACCTCGCAATTAAAGGTATTTAATAGAATAATTTGTTTACCAATTATAAATGTATTAAAATTGTAATTTAATATTGAACTCGAGGTGACTTTGCCAACGCAAATTCCGCTAGTTTTTTCTGTGTTATTTTTTAGCAACTTGTTGGGGCTGTGGGCGTGGCGGGGCTCATAGTGGGGCGAGGTAGCATGACCACCACATTCTAGGCACCTCGTAATCACGTGAAGATTAGTCTCACGTGGATTAAGCGCTCCAAAACGTTTCCCGGGGAACGCTTTGAAGTGGCGCGCTAAAATAATAATTTTCACCCGTCTAAGACGCCTTTTTTTCTGTCTGGTACACAAATTTGTCACTGTTAAATTTTTAGACATCTCAGCACGAGACATTTTACAATAGATAGAGTCACAATTGTTTTAAAAACAATTTTTAATTAGAAAATAGTTTCACAATTTATAAAGAAATGATTTTCAATTTTTTTTTTAATGAAAACGAGCCTTTCTCGAGAAATAATTCCATTGAAAAAGTTGATGAAGGCCACTTGCAAAATAAAATTTTTTTTCTCTTCAGAAAAAAGGTAAAAATTATGATTTCCATTGAAAGGTTCTCTCGTTGGCAATAATCGTGTTAATTGAAGTCTTGTCGAGCGTACGAGCGCCGATAACTAATAATTAATTGCCCTAATATTAATCGGGATCGGTTCAGCTGTTAAGAGAGCCCAGATTATTTCAGTAATAATTATTCTCTGGTGGACGAGTGGACGTGTTCGCAGCTCTTTGGCACCACTTGAAACGGATAAGAGCACTTCGCCCGTGCTCTCGAAGCGGTTCTTCTTTCTTCCTATTTTGCGTGTCCGTACGTAATTAAACCGAACCGGTGCGCCTAGCGTTGTTGTAAAACTGCCACTTCGTGCAGATGACAAAATACGATGGTCCGTGTTTGCACGCCTCAACGACGCACCTGTCGTATCTTCATCTATGCCGGTTTCACTTTGATTCAGTTCTCTTAATTAACCCTACCAACTCGTATAAACGATCTAGGAATCTTTTTGATCGTTAGAGGAATAATTATTTGCAGTATTATTTATTTGAATTAATTCATTAAAGAACATTTATTTCGAGGGAAAACCATGGGGTCTGGTGGTAAAGTAGTCGACTCCCACCCAGTTGGTCCGTGTTCGATTCCCAATGACTACAAAAGTTTTTTTCTCTTAATATAAATAAGTTTTAATTATGAAATTCATACATAAGTATACTAATTAACTTCTAAATGATGTGTCTTTGTGAATATTAAAATATTTAACGCGTACAAAAATATAAAAATTTGGGAAAACAAAGGAATTAAGAAATGTCCCCATTTGGTGGTAATTGACACTTGATAAATTAAAATTATAATGATAGATCACTACACAACTGAATCTTACCAAGTGTGCAAAGTTTCAATAAGTTAATAAAACATAATAAACGTTAGTTCGAGGGAACGAGCTCCCATTGGTACGTTCTACTTCTCCGAACGTAAAACGTAGAATGGACACGGGCGTGGATACATGTAAATCAACTCTAATTATAACACTAGTATATTTATATATGCGTATACGTACGCTTGTAATGCAGGAGTCGCAACTTTATTAGGACGGTGGTGGTGTGTAGCAGGAACGCGCGGGAAACGCTAACAATGAGAGAACATAGGTCATTCCCTCAGCGACCAACAAGTTAATGGATTAAGGTTCCAATTGAATTTTACGCTCCCGTAACTGAGAAAGAGTTGTTGTGTAATAAATTTACATGACGCAGGTGGTTTTCATTCTGGTCCATAAACCACACTTAACCTTTGATACGCCCTTCTTACATAGGCAAGATTTTCCAAGAGTTATACATTGCAGGATTAACCTACAAATTCACCCCTTTGCAGATCAAAGTTATTTTATATATAGGGTGTTCCAACCTGGGGGAAATTTTAGTGGGGGATTCTGGAGGCCAAAATAGGACGAAAATGAAGAATAGTAATTTTTTAATTGAGGCTTCGTTAAAAAGTTATTAACGTTTATAGTTGCGTCTGTGAGACGGGAACCGTGCACGCTGCACACTTTAACTTTAAACGTTAATAACTTTTTAACGGAGCCTCAATTAAAAAATTGGTATTCTTCATTTTCGTCTTATTTTGGGTTGTAGAATCCCCCATTAAAATTTTTCCCACGGTTAGTAAAAACAGTAAAATTATAAAAAGAAATTAGACAATTTTTAAGGTACTTGAAGGAACGTATAATGCAATGAACACAAATTATTAATTCTATTATAGAAAACTAGGGTAAATTTTCAAAAATCCAGTCGAGTATTAATTTGCAATTTTAGTGTTAGTAAAAGGTATTAATTGATGGGGGGAAAATAGTAGTATTTTTTAGTCGATGGGATCGAAAGTGGTTGAAATTTAGCTCGTTCGTAGCCCGGTCCACGGACGACACTGCGTGGTACAGTTCCCACGTACCTTTTGCACTCCCTCCGTCCTGTGGAACGTGGCCACCATTGGGAATCGTGCAAGCACACCATCATCGTCGTCCATCGGCCCCGGCACGGAGCCTCCGAAGCGTGGAGGAAGAAAGGACGCAGAATCCGTCGAGAACGAAACGTAGGGACCGCAGAGAGAAAGAGCGTCGTCGAGGCCGGAGTGAAAGGGGGAGAGAGATAAAAAGGTTCTCTCCCACACGGTGGCGCTAAAATAAAATGACCGGCGAAAGGAATGCCGAAGCTCTCTCCTCTGTGCCCGTGGAATGGCCTCAAGTGCCGTGGGATGAGATACACGCGGGAGCGAGAGGGAACGAGGAGCGCTGAAATCGCACATAGGTAAAAGAAGTCTTTGAGAAGACAGAGAGGCGGATAGAGGAAGACGATCAGCCACCTCCGGGGGGAGGAACGACGAATCGAGTTGGATCGGGATAGCAAATACTGCTGGGGCGACGTTGCTACGCTCCTACGGGCTCTTTCTTTTGCCCATTGGACGTGTCCATTCGTTTTCTCTTCCCTCACCCACTGCGTCTTTTACCTGCCCGATTCTGATTTTTCTCCCTCATTTCACTCGTATGACATTTCGAGACCCACGGAATGTCACTTGGTCCTCCGTGGATCGCCATTTTGTTTCGTAGCCCTTTCCTAGACGCGGGAATCGTAAATTAGGCCTTTTAATGCGATCGCTTGCGAGAAAGTCGAAAGAGTGGCCCTCTGGCGGCGAGACCGGGTACTATCGCTATCTCCGTTCATTTTTGGTCTCACGAGAGGTAAAAATGAAATTAATTATTATATTTTTGGGTTGCAGAGACCGTGACGATGCTGGCGAGGCAGTCGGAGAACAAAACGCTGAACCTGTTCGACCAAGTGTATCGCACGATGGCGGTTTTGAGCAAGCCGTCGATAAGAGCGCTGTACCAGGCGATGGTTGATTACGTATCACCCAGCAACACGCCCGACTCGTTGCAACAGCCACTGACGCGCGAGATGCTCCAGGAACGTTTCATAGAGTTCTTCACGAATCTGTTCCCGATCGCGTACCACAACGCGGTGAATCCCCACCAGTACGAGCAGGACTTCACGGAGAAATTCAAGACCTGCCTGTACGAGACGATGGACGAAATCCAGCCGTTCGGGGAGATACCGAAGCAGGTCTCGAAGTCGGTCAGCAAGAGCCTGGAGGCGACGCGGGTACTCGTGCAGGCATTGACTCTTGGCAAAACGGTTCTCGATAGGACCGACAGCTTGCTGTTTTCCGGCACCAGTCCCCAGCAGGCAGCCTGCTACGGCGCTCTGCTCAGGATGACCTATTGTCCGAGGTGCAAGGGCATCGGGCCCGCCGTCAGTCCCTGCATCGGGTTCTGCACCAATGTCATGAGGTGAGCATTCAATTAGCAACATTCAGCCAGAGTTGAGGAGAATGTTTTCATTTGGTTTCATCACACACGATCGAACCAGTTCGAACATCATTGATAGTCGTTAAAATAAATAGTACCAATAGCGAAAGGGGACTTATTGAATCACGGTTGCCTGATCCCTCGTAGTGCTAAAGATAATCGTTGGGAGAAATGAAGTGGGATAGCTCTCGAGGTGGATGAAACGAGACGCGAAGTTAAAAATAATCTCATTGCAGAGGTTGCCTGACGGAGCCAGCGTCCGAACTGGACCTAGCGTGGTCCGGCTACGTGGAAACGGTCGAGAGGCTCGTTGTGGCGGTCGACGGTCGTAACGATCCGTTGTGCCTGAACGTCGAGAAGGCTGTCAGACAATTGGACACCCGCATTTCGGATGCCATTATGCACGCGATGGAGAACGGGCCGGCGCTAGGGGAGAAGGTGAGTACCCGCCAAAAGGAATCTCTATCGCCTTACTGAATCATCCAGCTCACACGGGGAGATTCGTAACGACGTTAAAATTTGGAGTTTATAATTTCTTTCGCGGAGAATTGAACGCTCTATCTTACTAGACTTTTGAGAATACGAAGAGGGACCCTTAAACCATGCGAAAATATTTTATTAAATAGTAATTGAGTTTAAGTATTTTCAATGAGAGTGTCATTAACGTGTTGGTGAGATTCCCCCGATGAAAATGAGTACAAACACGACACCATTCCGACAATTTTTAATTTTACATAATTCAGGATATTTGAAAATAGTTTGGGTGAATTAAAATGTGGTGAGAGTATTATCAATGCATTGGCGAGATTCTCCTGATCAAAATGAGTCCAAACACGACACCATTCGGACAATTTTTAATTTTCACATGATTGAGAATTTTTCAACACTAATTGAGTAAGTTGAAATTGAAAGTGATCCGAATGGTGTCGTGTTTGGACTCATTTTCACCGGGAGAGTCCCGCCAATACGTTGATAATACTCTCACCACATTTTGACTCACCCAAACTATTTTCAAATATCCTGAATTATGTAAAATTAAAAATTGTCCGAATGGTGTCGTGTTTGTACTCATTTTTATCGGCAGAATCTCGCCAATACATTGAAGATACTCTCACCACATTTTAATCTGACCATCAACGTGACTTTCAGTCAAAATTGAAATCCAAAAACTTCAAATTTTAACCTTGTCACCTAATCCCCCCTTCAGGGCTAATTTCATATGTGAAACTCTGAATGAAAAACAAATGAAATTCCTGACGACGAAGGAATCCTTTATCGCCTGTTATGCGTCACGGCGCCAAATAAGCCTAAACGCACTCGTGCAGTTTGCCAATCGTCCTTGTGCCACATGGATCTGGAAGCAGACTCGTACGGCTTTGACTAACTCGTTAGCTGACTTTTTGCAAGAATATTCTATTTTTAATGTTAAAAAATTCCTCGAACGAGTATTCGAAGAATGTCGGGCCATTTTTCCGTGAATAAATTGTGTGAGACGTGGCACACCCGGTATGTAGAAAGAAGGAGGACGTCTCTTAAAATTTTTAGGCGTTCCCGGGTAAAATAAACGGCGCCGCTTATGGCGACCATTCCACGCGATTTCTCGAGCACCGTTGGAGAATTCTTTTGATCTTTTTGTCAGTCTCGATTCGGATCGCGGCGTCTACCTGCGGGACTTCACCGTTGTATTTTTCTTTTCATTGTTATTGATATTAACGCTGCCAGGCGAGGAACGCGCGGAACTCGCCGGAACGTGCATTATGCCACAAGGTGCATTGTACGTATTTCCATAAATTCGCTTTTTATTTAGGAGGGAAACAGACAGAGCCAATTTGCGGTCGCGATATATCAAATCCCTCGCGGATTAGAGCTTGTTAATATAAACGATCGGAACAAGTTCCACCGAACTCGCATAATCTTGAATTTAGGAACGACCATAAGTGTAGGCGCGAACCCACGTTCCCAGGGCGGTTTCGACTTTTCTGGAACTCGCAAAAAACATCACTATAATACCCCAACACTCCGTCACTTTCTTGGGGGAAATTAAAATTATCCATTTCCTAATTTAATTATTGCAATAATGCCCCTAATTCTCTTGCATTCCAAATTTTTTTTTTTTTGAGAATTTAAATATTTTTTTTTTTAATTAAAATTGTCTGTTTTATAGGTGTAATTTTTATCATCCAATTTCGAGAAATGTACGTTTCATCCACATGTTCCGTAACATGGAGAGGAAGTCTTCCGTTCTCTCTGTAGGTTTTTCATAGATTAAAATCTAATGGAGTGAGAGATAGAGAACGGAGCTGTCTACCGCAAGGTTCGCTGTCGTACAATCCAACGTCCGATAAAATTGATATCCGATTATATTGCTCTTACAGTTCTAAAGTAATGAGCCGAACAGCCGCCATGTTGAAGCCACATCCTTTAAAGCAGATGGCCGGAATCCCCCCCCCCCCCAGTCCTCTCCAATTCGCCATCCATCAGAAATTCATTAAATAATAATTAAAGTAGCTTCATTTTACAGCGTTCGAGCAAATCAATTTCACAAATGCAAACTTATAAATTATAAATTATAGATATACAATTTAATATAAATGAATATAAATATTAATATAAATTACTATAAATGAATATAAATTAATATAAATGAATATAAATTTATAAATTGTAAATTTGCAAAAATGCACGGTCGCCATTTTTAAAATGCTTCGACAAAGTAGCCACGTTCGAGCAGGAATGTCGCATGATTTCTATTACACCGACCATGTACACAACACATCACGTAGCCCTCATTGTCGGTTTGTTCTTTGCATAGTAATTTCCGTCGATATCGTTTATCACGTAGGTGCATTAATCATCGAAATTATTGATATGCTAAACATGGCTAAACAGCGCTAGGAATTTTGCACGAACACGACTCGTAAAAATAGATATGATAATTTGTAAAACTTGAAAAATATTGATAATGTTTCGAACGTCTCAAAGAGAGTCGTTTAGGTTGGATAAAAAATGTTAGTAATCTAGGGTTATCTGCGAAGCCAATGATATTAAATTGTCCCATAAAATCTACAGATACCCATCCGAAGCAACCAGTTTAATTAGTATGAAAAAATAGCCTATCATAAAGCAAGAAAAAGTGAAAATATCAGGTACGTAATTATCGTACCAGGGAGTGTACTATTTTTACTATTAACTGTATTTCCTCCGGATAAAGCGGTAGGAAATGGTCGCGAGGGTCCATAAAATTTAAAAACATATTAAATTCTAAGTAGAAGCGTCTTCGATCCGGTTTCAGCTTAACGAAGGGGCGCTGGGGGACCCGCGTTGTAGGAATCTTATCTCCCTGTTCGACGTCTCGGGATTTTCGCGATCAGTCGCGACTGTTTTTTTGCCGGATGATCGACACGCGGGTGTCGAAATGGAAAATGCACGCGAACGGAAGAAAAAGGCGATACGACGTGTATGCAACGGCTAGAAACGGAACGAATACACGCTATAAATCCCGATCCGAGCAATAAATTTCGCCGCGAGCGATCGGTCCGGCCACGGTCGCCGCGTATTGCTGCGCACGATAGGCGAGCTGACATCAAGGGACGTCGTAACAATGCACTTTGAACGACTCGTATCAAGAAGATGGCCAAGAAGAGACGATTTAAAAGAGAAAAGAATACGTGGTATAATATATAATAACTACGGTATCGTTTCTCGAGTCCACGATACGCGAATCTGACTCAGAGTGCGTTTCGTTGTACGGAAACGTTTATTGTTGGAACGTTTTGTTGCCAGTATATTTGAAACGGAGGGAAAAATAGGGCGATTTTTGATCATTTTGGCAAACGAAAAATTTTTTGAGGGTATGAATTTGTGGGTTTTGAGGAATATCAAATTGGATAATTGATATTCGAGCTTCGTTTTGCTGGCGGGACTTGTATTGGTATTGGTATTGCTGTTAGTATTTGATAATGGTATTGGCATTGGTATTATTATTTGATATTGTAACTGGTATTGCTATTATTATTTGATATTATAACTGGTATTGCTATTATTATTTGAAATTATAATTGGTTATTGCTATTATTATTTGATATTATAACTGGTATTGCTATTATTATTTGATATTATAACTGGTTATTGCTATTATTATTTGCTATGGGACTGGTATTGCTATTATCATTTGATATTATAACTGGTATTGCAATTATTATATGTTATTTTCATTCCTATTGCTATTGCTATTATTATATGTTATTTTAATTTCTATTGCTGTTATTATTTGCTATTCCCATTGGTATTGCTATTTGTATTGTTATTGGTATTATTATATGTTATTTTCACTCCTGTTGCTATTATTAATTGCTATACCCATTGCTATTGCTATTATTATTCGCTATTCCTATTGGTATTGTTATTTGTATTGTTATCGGTATTATTATATCTTATTTTCACTCTTATTGCTATTATTAATTGCTATTTCCATTGCAATTGCTATTATTATTCGCAATTTCCATTGTATTGCTATTATAATATACTATTTTCATTCCTATTGCTATTATAATATGATATTTTCACTCCTATTGCTATTATTAATTGCTATTCCCATTGCTATTGCTATTATTATTCGCTATTTCCATTGAATTGCTATTATTATTTACTATTTTCATTCCTATTGCTATTATTATTTGCTATTTCCATTGCAATTGCTGTTATTATACGCTTTACCCATTAAATTGCTATTATTATATGCTATTTTCACTGCTATTGCTATTATAACTTACTATTCCCATTGCTATTGCTATTAGTATTCGCTATTCCCATTGTATTGCTATTATTATATGCTATTTCCATTCCTATTGCTATCATTATTTGCTATTGCTGTTATTATATGCTATTTTCATTCCTATTGCTATTATTATTTGCCATTCCCAACGTATTTCTATTATCATATGCTAGTTTCATTCCAATTGCTATTATTATTTGCCATTCCTATTGCTGTTGCTGTTATTATTCACTTTTTCCATTGCTATTGCTATTATTATATATTATTATCACTCCTATTGCTATTATTATTTGCTATTCCCATTGTTATTGCGATTATTATTTGCTATTGCTGTCATTATATGCTATTTTCATTCCTATTGCTATTATTATTTGCTATTGCTATTATTATATGCTATTTTCATTCCTATTGCTATTATTATTTGCTATTCCCATTCTATTGCTATTATCATATGCTAGTTTCATTCTTATTGCTATTATTATTTGCCATTCCTATTGCTATTGCTGTTATTATTCACTTTTCTCATTGCTATTGCTATTATTATATATTATTGTCCCTTCTATTGCTATTATTATTTGATATTCCCATTTCTATTGCTATTATTATTTACTATTTCCATTGCTATTGCTATTGTTATTGTTGTTACTATTGTTATTGCTATTTT